AGCGCTGTGAGAGCGATTCTTATGTATGTATTCATAGTGTTCATATTTATGTATTATATAATGTATTCATATTTGGACCGAGTTCAACAGAAACCAACTCACATCAAGTTGAAACTGAGAAAAAGAGATTTGAAGTTTTACATATATTACTGCACAAGGCTCAATGTAAAAAGTAAACTTCAGCTCCTCTTTTCACAAAAAAATGTTTTTTTTTTTAGACTTCCAATTTTTGTTAGGAGAAAATATACGGTTAGTGAAACTGTAATACACTCTTCACTCAATTTTTTTGAAAATTCGGGTTGGTTCCCCTCCGATAAACTCGGTCCAAATAAATATTTCGTCGAAGGGAATTTGGCAGCATTTGTATGCTTATGGGGCGTTATTCCGCAGCACGGCAATGCAACACGCTGCAACATCCTGTAAATGTTCCCAAGAGTTCAGAATCCTGAGATTGAGTCTGGTTCACCCTCATCCTCGATGCTAAACGGAATGCTCCTGCTCGTAAACAGAAACACGGAGTTTCGAAAACTTGGGAACTTGTAAAGGGCTTCAAGATGAGAACGAGGATCAAAGGCGCCGATGAAGGCATTTGGATTCAACGGTCCGTAAATTTCAGGGCGAATTGCTAGCCTTCAGCGATCCTTAAGATAGGATTAATGTCGGGGAAATGAGCTATCAAATCGGTTATATTTACGCTGCGTTCAGGACTAGGCTCTAGTAACTTCGTTTTGCAAGATTTGTGCTTCCACAGTGTTATGAATGTTTTTCTCAGTTAAAGTGACTACTTGACTCTTAATGATATACACTTAGAAGGATTTAATGATATTATTGAAGCTCCTATTGAATGGAAATGACCAGCGGTGGATCCAGCAATCTGGCAACACCGGATTCCCTCCATTTAAACCTGTGTTAAATAATCGATTCTTATCGGAGCACCTGGCCCATCCAAGAATCGATACATTTCCATAGGTTTAAATGGAGAAGGATAAATGTTGCCAATTTGCTGGATCCGCCAATGGAAATGATGAGGAACATAACTGAAAATGTCACTGATTTTCCCTGAGATTTCATGCAAAAATTAGAGAGATTTTGGATGAAAATTGCACGGGTGCGTTTTTGTAAAATCAATCGTTTAAGTCAGTTTGACAACCTTGGAATAGACTTACGTTCCTTCCTCCGCGAAAAGATCATTTGTACAGTAATTAATGTAACATCCTGCTGTAAACCTGTAACCCTCACTGTCCTGAGAGTCGGTCCCTCTCTGCTTAACTTTACCCAAAGGTGAGAGATGATTCATGCGGTTTTTAAAGTCGACTTAAAGCTTCCTTGCAGCGCAGCGTTCAACTTGTTTCTCGAGCTTTGACTGATCGAGCTCACAGCCCTTACAAATTGCACTTACGAGAAGAAACTCCTTCCCAAAACGCGTAAATCAAACGTTAATACGTCCGCAAGGAACCTTAATACACCTCTCTGAATCAAAGTTGAACGAAGTTATGGAAGTCGAATTACTCTCCAGGATAAAACGCGGGAATAACACTTCCTTATAACACGATTCGAGTTCGAGCAAAGATGCACGCAAACTTATTTTGATTAACTTTGGACGGTTTACGTCACTCCAATAGAAATGGCGATGACTCGTTGCGAGTTTCGATTTGTTTCGGCGCGACGGAGATGTGGGTCGTGGGGGTTCACGCTGCCTCGCGTTAAGACGCCAGATTTCTAGATAATATTTTTTTTAAAAAAATCAATCGTTTGGTTCAAAGTTTCGTAACGATTATTGAAGCTTTCAATCGCGATTCATAAAATGTCGAAATAAAAAAATACATTAAAGTATTGCGCGTCATGCGTGCTTGAGTACACTCATTTTTAGATAGGTGAAATACATTTTTAGATAAAAATTAACATGTCTTTCATTGGCTTAGAACTTGAAAGGTGTGTATGTAGCCAAAGTGCGAATGAATGTGCAAAAATTTACTAAGTTATTTAATCATAATTTTTGGTCAAAGATTTTTGGCACACTATTGCCATCGTTACGACCTTTGGGATCAGACAACTGCTTCTAGGAATGAGAAACAACTTAATCAGCCAAAATACACGTAATAAAAGAACAACTTAATTTGGGGAAAAGGCTGCAAATAAAGAAAAGGAATAAACAAAACCCGGGACGTTTCAAAATAATAACAATTTCATTATCAACCGGAAAAATAAATTAAAAACAAAAACGAGCCGTCGCTCCGCTGTAATTGCGAGACCGAGACTGCTTCTAGGAACATGCAGAATGCGGAGAAAATAATACGGCCGGGCTATACGAAGCTATACAAAATTATGCAGCCGGGCTATAGTTTCTATCGCCGGGCTTTACACTTTATCTCCATCGATTATAAAAGGCTAAAAGAAATTGTGTAGAAATTCGTGTGCTTTGGAAATCATTAAGTTTGATACGGAACCACCTTAATATTTACAAAACACACATTATATTTTCCTTTAATACATATTTTCTTTCATCAATTAAAATGAGAATAATCCATACAAGATGTGCAAACATGTCAAAATCATGAGTTGAATAACGCTGACTCCGCCAGATTAAATATTAGAGCCTACCACAAAGCGGAGCGGCGACGCACTGGCGCCTACAAACCTAACAGGGATACTTCACGCATTGCGCAACACGTGAAGTATCCCTGTTAGGTTTGTAGGCGCCAATGCGCGTTTCGCGCTGGCTGCCCGCCTGCCGCACCGCAGCGTGCCACGGCGCTTGAAGCAACTTACGAAACTAAAGACGCTCTAATATATTAGGAATGGCAGGCATCCATCAAAAGTACGGAGCTTTCCTCGCAAATAAATCAAGATACTACGGCCCAAAAAGAGAGCAGTAGTGCGAAAACTTACTAAGTCCTCGCATCCGTAATTAGTAACGTTTAGCATACACTTTATCGCCTGGCTGTTGCTTAATCGCCATCGGCTATAAAAGGCTATAAGAAATTGTGTAGCCGGCTATAGAAGCTATTGGAGATCTTACAGCCGGCTGTAGGTCCATGGTATTTTTGAACACAGATTCTACTGCCAATTTTTACCAGGGTGGACAATCTTAAGTACCGATCGTCTAATTCTTTTCTTTTCGAGCGGTCTTCTCAGTGGCGTGCGGTGGGTTCAGTGACAGGGCAAGCTGTAGCTTTCGCCATCCGGAGGGGGGGGGGGGGGGTTAACGTAGTCTCTTTTCCCTCCTCCCCTAGCCTCCCTAGAAAATTCTTAAAATTTTACTCTATATGCTCTGTTTTTCGGATGAAATCTGATGGAACGTCTTGAAGAACTGTGGCTTTATTTCTTTCTCTCTTACTTATGATTTCGTTTACTCAACTTGTTTCGATTGTTATTGATCATTGGAGGACGGCTCCATGCTCCATGCTGCCTAATTTTGCTATAAGAATTTTACTTAAATTTCCCCAAAAATCAGCTTTCTGCATTTAAAACATGACTCAGAATTATCTAATTCATCAGCAATTAGATCCAAGTGAGCGAAATTTTATAGAATTTAAGGGCATTTGCTGCGGAGGAGCAATTACAACCGCGACGGAAAGAGGGAGCAAGATAGCGCATCGGAGGCAGAAGCAGCGCGCTGCGGTGACGGGCCAAGAGATGGCCAAGAGAAGCGAGCTGCGATCGCGCAGCGAAGGGCTCGGACTCGGAACGTACCGCTCTACCCGCCCGCCATGATTCCGCCGCCGAGCAGTGGCTCTCCGCTCAGCTGATCGCAAGCGATTCTCCAGCGCATGGGTTGGCCCGTGTTCGGGCCGCGCAGCGCGCTGCGCCACCTCCATCCGCCCAGCCGCTTTCCCACTGCTGTGGCTCTACACGTATTTCTGTCTCTCTCTTTTTCTATTTTTAATGCAATTTACTTACTGAACACCTTTTATAAATTATATTTGCTAAAATGTTCAACATGAAATAGGTGTAATTTTCTTCTTTCGTTTGAAATCTTTGGGCAAGCAGTGCTTGCCTTGCTTATCCGGACCGCACGCCACTGGGTCTTCTTTACAGTGGCGTGGCGTGAATGATCTATTATCGATATCTCGCCATTTGAAGCTATGGTAAAGGATCGATTACTAAGGTGTTCGCTGCGAACACCCTAATGATCGATCTTTTTTCATAGGTTTGAGTGGCGTACAGATCGATACATCGCAAAGCGCGCCACTTCGTTGCTTCTTTACAGATTGATTCTCATGGTATTACGTTAAAAAACTATATTTTACTGTGACAGTGCAACTAAGATAGAAATGACAAACGACAGTTGAACTCATGCACGACGACTGAGAATTGTTTTCAAAATGTATGATTCAAAACATACAGACTCCAAGAAATTCGTAAATAAACAAGTTAACTGAAGTCTTCCAGCTGAAAGCAAAGAGACCGATTTTTGCCAGTGGCGAGGCGTGAATGATCGATTATCGATATTTCTACAAAAAGCTATGGTAAAGAATCGATTATTAAGGTGCTCGTTAGGAACGACCTGTAAATCGATCCTTTTTCATAGATTTAAATGGCAGATTAATCGATTTATCGCGATGCACGCCACGCTACTGATTTTTGCGCAAAAGTTCTGACCTTTGCACACTCAGTGAAATGGTCGAAACCCTGGATTCGTTCTATAAGATGTGACTTGGCTCCTTTTTGCGGGTTGATTATTGAAATGTATAGACAAAGCTATAGACACAAAGGGCACAATGAGTACAGAGCGATCCTATTGGTTGAAATGGGTGGTTTTTATAGACTAAGGGGGTACATGATGGACTAACTATCGGGTCTCTCGTTAGTTGCCTTTAGTTAGTCTTTTACCTGCGTCCTTTGTCCATTGCAACCACCCGCTTACACCAATAGGAGCCCTCCATATCCTTTTTATCTTCTTTGTCTATTGCTTTGTGTATCAATTTCAATGATCAGCCCGCTGGTCCCTGATCGGTGATCGGTCCCTCGCCATAAAAAGAGTGAGAAATCTGTCTTACCAGGGCGGGAAATTGCTGACGAAGCTCTGCACACCATTGGGAATAGGAGGATCCACAAGTTGAGATCTTGTTGAGGAAGTCCCGCAACTCCCGGGCCAAAAGTGTGAAATGCTCCATCTCCACTTGCGACATTTGCAGCCATTCCTGACGTCAGAAACACGTAACACGTTAACGTTCGACATCCTCAATTGGACGTATTTCTATCAAACGGAACTATGTGCATTAAGACATGAGCCCTGAGACCCATAAGAAGACATGTATAACAGGGCTCACGTCGTAATGCACATAGTTCCGTTTGATAGAAATACGTCCAATTTATAGTACGTACAGAAACGCACCGATTCAAAGGTGTTTTAAAACTTCGCAGTTTGAAAGAGAAAGAACCGGTTTTGGAGGAGGGAGAACTGCGAGGAATCATTTGTTAACTGATTTTCGTGGGGAGGAAAATTAAAAAAGTTAAAAGAAACAGCTCAAAGGAGAAAGAACCTCATTTTAAAACACTTAACATTGAGTTGTTGATACCAGAACCCTACAGGAATGTCTTATACGAACATTTTGGGACAAAATGTTGAATCAAGCTGGAGGTGAAACCGTTTGATATTCCAACTTTTAAAAAAAATATATGTCTAAAAATGTTTGAAAAATCCTAATTTATCAGGTTCTAGATACAAAATTACTGGGTTCGAATGCGTCTTAACGGACTGAATACTTTAAGGATATCTTTCTGTCAAGACACAAAATTTGGCACTTCAATGCAACTCAGGAAAAATTGCTCTGTTAAAAATTGTATTTTTGTTGACCAAGGTATTTTTTCCACTGTGCAGTCACAGATAGCGATAACACTAAGTTTGGGGGGAGGAAGGTGGGGGTGGACTGCATTACGTAAAAAAAAAACAACTTTTGTTCCATTAGCTTCCCTACGAGGATTGGTGCTTTCACACAGGAGTTAGAAATAGCAGTTCCATATTACGTGGTGATACAAATGTACGTCATCACTGTATGATTCTCACTATTGTAAGTAACCCTCCCGCATTTAGAGGTCCCCCCGAAATATGGAAAAAACTGGACCACAAAGAATTTGAGCGACTGAGTACAGACGCAATTATTTCTGAAAAATTAGTCCAAAAAATGTACTTGTTCCCATTGAACATGAAGAGGCAATTTCATTTTCACTTCATATTTGTTTATCTCAATGTTCTTAAGCTCACAGGAGGGTGGGGAGATATCTAAAGTAGCTACCTCTCTCCCTCTATTAGAGAGAGGGAGAGAAGCTAAAAATTGACCGCGTTTAGCAAAAAAGAACTAAGCCACATCAACTACTGCCAAAGACTGAGCGATCTATTTTTTTACGACAGAGCCTTTGTGGTGATTTTTTTGAAAATTTTACAGAATTTACTTTGTATTTTGCGGAAAACTTACTGAAATTTGCAACAGAATTCGCACAGCCGTTTTCATGTAGAAAATTAAATTTATCAATAGCTATGATGTGACTTGGTTCCTTTCTGCTTAACGTGATTTACATAATGTGAGACAGGATGCCTAGATAAGATAGCACGACTGAAAACACACATTGTTAAAAAATATTCTCTTTAGCACGGCACTTAAAATTTGATTGCCGGCCTGTGCATTTGATGAGATGCCTGATTTAACTAATTGCCTGCGACACCTAGTAAACAATTGTAAGTAAGTGTGTTAACAGTGCTCCCATTTTTCGGCACAAGTACCGACTTTCGGAACTTTTGAGAATTTCCTGAATTCTTCCCGGGATTATTTAAATCCCCGGAATTTTCCGGATCTTGTGTATTTTTCGGAATTTTCGGAAAAATCTGGAAAGAATCCCGGAACCACTGACGGTTATGGAGTTGAATAAATTGGAACAAAAAAGTTCCGGATCCCGGAATCTTTGACGGAAATTAAATGTTTGCACTGTTTCGTGGTCCATTCCCTAAAATTGAACGCTTTAATCCAAAACATACCTACTCGGCTTGCCGCGAATTCGCAAACAAAGGGGCACACTCGGACACTTCAAAATCGAGGAAAATCACGGATAACTTGACGGCTGACACCGAACCGCACACACTGGTGAAAACAGCCGAAAATTTTCCGAGTTTCGCAACGCGAGACTAAGACCGCGTAGCGTAAACAAAACTGCAGACGTTGCATAATGCGGGTTCGACGATCAGCGCGGTCGTCACACTACGCAGTGTGTTTGAAAATAACGCGTTTTGAGTCCGGCGTCGGAACTGAAAATATTTTCGGACGTTACTCTGAGCAGACCACCGATGCCGTGGTCATTTTTTGGCGAATTTATCACCGGAAAAAGGTGAAGTTGATTTAACATTCTGGATGTAAAAAGTGTGCGAGAACTCATAAAATGCTAAATTATCCGCCACAGCAGTTACTTTTACATTTTGGCATTGTTAAAGTAACCGCTAGAGCGGACAATTCAGCATTTTAGAAGTTCTCGCACACCTTTTTTTTGGATTCAGAATGTTAAATCAACTTCATGCACTTTTTTTCCGGTGTAGGAACTAAGACGAAAGAGGGAATTGCTATGCGGTCAAAACAAGGATATGTTGACTCTACAGGCTGTTTCGTGATGAAAATCCAGGATTCGTTTTTCAAAAAGAATTTCACGATTTAAAAAGTCACTGTATCCAATGTTAGTGAGATACCAGTAGAGGTGTTTCTTTGTCTCTGGAATTGACCTCCAAATAGTCAACTTAGTTGGCCATATATCTCATAAGCAAAATACCTATTTTACCGTATTAAAGAAGCTAGCAGTAACGTCCGAATTTTTAAAGTCAAGTTTCCTCTCAAATTCGACCAATCTTATATTTGAATAAATTAGCCGAGTCAGCAACAAAAGCAAAATGCATCTTATTTGTAAGAGGACGAAAGTTGTGAAAAATCAATAGGTCCGCAAAAATTGACTTCGTTAAAAAGAATAGCAGTTAATTCTACAGTATTAGTCAGCCTCAGTGGTGTAGTGGTCAAGGCAGTTCGCTGCCAGCACTGAGGTCCCGGGTTCAATCCCCGGAGGTGACTGATATTTGAGGACACTCAAATATCAGTCATCGTGACTGCGGATGACTATGCCACTCCAATACCCTGACCCTTCGAGGTTACAGGGTGCGGGAGGGACATAGTCACCCAGTAAGTAATCCGTCTGCACTGTTCGACTGGGTTGTGAAAAATCGGTTATCACTCGTAGTGTGCGCGACTGCCAGCGCTACCTATCAGTGTAGATTGCAACAACACAGTCCAACTCGGTGGAGGCATGGCCGTGCTCCGAAAGTCCGTGCTCTGCAGCGTCTGCCACAGTCTTTGATAAGACCTTCCGTTGGATACGAGGGTCATCCAAAAAGTAAGTTCACCCCTTTCATATCTCCGAAACTAAAAGGGATAAATCAAATCGGTAAAAAAGGACTTCTTACTTATATCCTCAGCTCTCCATAGGTACCAAGATTTTTAAATTTGGACCACTGGTTGCCGAGATATTCGATTTTTACGTGAACAACTCCCGGCCAGTTCCGTCCACCAAACGACGCGCTGATATGAGATGCACCGCGCGCTGTCGCGTCGCTTTTGTCTTCTGGGACTCTCAAGGAGTACTTCTCGTCCATTATTTGGAGATAGGGTGTACAATCAATGCACCACGGTATTGTGGCATATTGAATTCGTTGCGATTGGCAATAAGAAACAAGCGACCGGGTCTCTTGTCTCGTGGTCCCCCATTCCTTCACGATAATGCCAGACCTCACACGGCGAAAGAGACCCAAAATTTGTTGGACAAATTTGCGTGGGAGGTGTCACCTCATCCTCCATACTCCCCAGCCCTTGCCCCGATTGACTATCATATTTTTCCGCAACTTAAGAAGCACCTAGGCGGCCAGCGCTTCGAGAACGATCAGCAGGTGATGGAAGCAGTTAATGGCTGGTTCAAGAGTCAACCAAAAGTGTTCTCTGAGAACGGCATTAAGAAGCTTCAGAAACGCTATGAAAAATGCATCTAAAGGAACGGAAATTACGTCGAAAAATAAGGTAAGATTGTTTTAAAGCCAATCTTAGAATATTTGAGTTGGTTGTTCCTACGTAGATATGTGGGGAACACAGTCAATTCAGGTAGCGTGACGGGAATCGCAGCGCATCGTTTGGTGGACGGAACTGGCCGGGAGTTGTTCACGTAAAAATCGAATATCTCGGCAACCAGTGGTCCAAATTTAAAAATCTTGGTACCTATGGAGAGCTGAGGATATAAGTAAGAAGTCCTTTTTTACCGATTTGATTTATCCCTTTTAGTTTTGGAGATATGAAAGGGGTGAACTTACTTTTTGGATGACCCTCGTATCAGACGGCCGCTGAGCCTTGCGGGGATATAATTGATACTCAATGTGTCAATAGTACGAAGATAAGTTAAGGAGTACGGTCCAACTTCGGGGTGCACGACGGCGGCAGTTGCCAGTTGCCTTGGCCCCTTGACGGCGCCTCGCCGGCCAGCCCGGCCTTACTTACTTACTTACTTACTAATTCTACAGTATTCCGAACTGTACTTTCTGCTGTCGTCGAGCAAAGGTAAAATTCGAACGCCCTCATGCAATAACTCATGCTCTCGAGACGATCAGATTGCATACACACAGACTTGAAGGCGTTTTGGCTACCCTTGCTAATTCTGAAGAGAAATTTAACTAAGTCTAAAATTTCCTGGTTTTTCCCATATTTCCTGCCTGTGGCAACCCTGTTAAGTGCATGTAGAACAATCGATTCTTGTTGAGGCAACTTGCCTTTCTTGAAATTGATATTACAGCCGATTGAAGGTGATTCAACAATTTTCCCTGACATTTCCAGGTTATCCCTGAATTTTAAAAACACTCCGACATTTCCCTATTATCCCTATCATCCCTGACTGTGGCAACCCTATTAAGTGTAAGTAAAACAATCGATTCTTGGTGAGGCAGCTTGCTTCTCCTGAAATTGATATTATAGCCGATTAAAGGTGATTCAACTTTTGTCCCTGACATACCCAGGTTATCCCTGACTTTTCCAAACTCTCCAACATTTCCCTATTATCCCTATAATCCCTGACTGTGGCAACCCTGTATAGTGTAAGTAAAACAATCGATTATTGGTGAGGTAGGTTGCCTCTCCTGAAATCGATATTTTCAACAGAATTAATAGATCGTTTTCGATACATCAAATAGGTGAGATTGTATCGATATCGATTGGTTCAACATGTAAACATAGCCTCAAAAGTCAATCGAGTAATCTGAGGAAACGGGTTTTTCTGATAGATTTTTTATTCTTATGAGTACTAAATGGCATCGCAAGGTGAAATAGTTAGGAATTTTCTCATTTTTTGCTTTTCCGACTAAAATCCTGAAAGTATGGTTTGAGGTTATGTTCTATTGTTTTGAACCAAACGATACATCGAACCACTATCGAAAACGATCCGTTGGAGGAAAAACAATTTTGCCAAATGCTACTATATTTTAAACATTTTTTCCATCCTATAACATACATACCTCGATGAAGGTGAATATGGATCGGTGCCAGACAGGGATCTCGAGGGCGATGCAGGCGGGGCTGTCCCTGCGGCGGGCGATGCGGTCCGAGGGGGAGAGGGAGCTGCGGCGGCTGTTGGGGCCGGGCCCCGTGGCCGCTACGGGCACCGTCACCGCCGGGAACTTCTTCTCCTCGGCCGGCGTCGTCGCCATGCTGTGCACCAGCTCCCCGTGGTCCAGCGGGCCCCCCAGCGCCCCCGCCGAACGCCCGCGCGGCAGGTAGATCGAGTTCCCCAGCGAAGGCCACGGTACCTGAAAAAAAAGTCCTTATCGATTAGGACAGATTTTGTGGTAAATTGCGGGGGGCTTCCTTAAGAGGCAGCAGAGTGGATCGAGCACCGAAAAAAAAATGTGAAGTTGATTTGGAACATTCTGGATGTAAAAAATATGTGCGATGCAGGGTGGCAAAATTTCATGAAAAATAAAATCTTGAAATTTCACGTGAAATATTTTGTTATGCGTGAAATAGTTTGAAGAATGGCTGGGTAAAATTGATGCAATGATTCATGCTAAGTGCAGATATGTACCCTGAGTCCATACCGTATGGACCCAGCGACCCAGCGTCTATACACTGTATAGACCCAGCGTCTATACCGTATAGATCCAGCGTCTATACCGATGGACCCAGCCAGCGTCCATACCGTATGAATGGCAAGTTCATACACATGCTTTTCCATACACGACATGTTTATGCCACATCTCTGCTCTGGTCGTGAAAGCCATATACCTTGGATTTTCCAATCGGTATAGACTCTCACTACGTAACCATTTTTTTCCGTGCAGGGGAATAATGTCACTTACGGCTGTTTTGCCTGAAACTACGTCATTTTTTGCACTCGTACGGTTTTCTCATACGTCTCGTTTTAGAAATGTCCTAGGAATGTCCTGGAGCGTCCTTCCGGAAAAATGAGTGAATTTATGCAGAAACTAAGTCAAATACGTGATACGATTTCGAAAATTAGACAACTACTCTCCCATGCCAAGGAAAAACGCCGTATGAACACTCGAGAGTTGCCAAATTTACTTCGATAAAACGATTGTTTTTGGGGAAAGCTATGAGTATTATTCCTTTAAATTTTCAGAATCTTTAGGTGGAATCGCGAGCAAAATTATCTGAAAAATTCGGAGGAAAATATTCATAACTTTACCAGAAAATCCGCGTTTTATGAGAGGAAATTTGGCAACGTCTGAAGGTTCATATGGCGTTTTTCCTTAGCACGGCAGTACTGCTCTGCCGTGATAATGAATAAGAGAGCCGTAAGTGCGAAATTTTCGAAATCGAGTTTTCTTCAAAATTCGTCTAAACTCTTTTAGATGAAATAACTGAGACAGCTAAAACAGCAAAATTCATCCTAATTTAATGAAAACGAAACGAATGAAAAAGCCGTAAGTGCAGTGCACAGAAAATGACACAGTTTTTTTTCAAGACGGCCGTAGATGCATGAGATCCAATGAGAACAGTGCTCTCCAGTAAAGAGCCGCCCTCTTCTGCCAATTTCTAACCTGAAAATGTGTTTGTTGTGCGTCCAAAACGCAACTACGAAAGCATGCAAAAGATAGCACTTACGGCTGTCTTGCCTAACAATAACCTAGCATGAAAATGAAAAATACCCTTCTTATGTGATGGAAATAAAATCAGTCGATTTTTAATCATCCATACGATTTCTAGGAGTCTTCCGGACGATTAGTGGCAATTTGACAAAGAACGGAGGCTTCTCTCAATAAAATGTTCTTGTCAGAAGCTTCTGAGCCCGTTTTCTCAAAACTTCATTTTAGCGGCTCTGGTGCTTGCACTAGAGCTGCTATTCCGGACGGTCAGCTGGGGAGTATCATTGGACCATGTTACATTGGAGAGACCGCGCGTTGGTTGATGGGAATCGGCGCCATTTTCTGCTGTTTAGGGAGGACTGATTTTATTTTAATTGATATCTTTTTCCTGTGAGCGAATGCTATATTGTGTAGTGTATTTTTGGAATCATGGTGATACTGTCAATAATTCAAAACGGGTCTGTGCTTTAATCTCGCACTGGAAAAAATGTACTTTACGTTTAAAATTTGAAAATTCAAATCTATAAGTTTTCGCGCTTTTTTCGAAGAATGCCGTGGTTGAAGCTTCCTAGTCATACTACTCGACATCAGCTGATAGCAAACAAAGGTTACCAAGGAAACCGTAAACGCGTAACAACTACCGTCGGCAGAGCCGCTTTCCGACGCGAATGCGTTGGAGCTTCCTGCTTATTTGCACCTACGGCTCTCTTCGCTATCACGGCAGCTTAGCACGGCAGTACTGCTCTTTATGCTATGACGGGAGAACGTACCTCAGGTAGGGTGAGGAACCTGGAGCTCTCGTAGGAGACGCGGGGCATGGAGCGGGAGCGAGGTCGGAGTCCGCGGTTGGCGAGGAACTCGGCGGCGGCGGCGATGGGGTCCTGGATGATGCCCCGCGTCGGGTGTTCCGGCGAGTCGAAGTCCGGGAGATTCTGCAGCTGCTTCTGGAACGCCAGGATCTCCTGCTCTGGCGTCTCCTTCCCGGCCGTCTCTTGATTGTGCAGCACCTGCAAAACCAACCACCGCAACCCTTCATACCTTGGTCCTTCAATCTTATCAACTTTATTCCATTTAATCGTGTCTCATACGCTTTTGGCCAATGCTCCCATTTCATGGCCGTCGAAAGTTTCGGCTTTCGGAACTTTTTTGTTCCAATTTCTCCCACACCACACTGAAAAAAAAAATCTCGGTGTATTTACTAATAAAATGGTAAAATTACCAAGAATTCAGGGTTCTATTTGATCCCAGTTTTTTCTTGGTAAAATTACCATTTATGGAATTGGTAATTTTACCGAGAAATCTCGGTAATATTATTGAACTTTCTCGGTAATTTTACTGGACCCCGGTAAAAACCCCAATATTTTTTATCGACTGTGGTAGCATTACCGAGATAAAATGGCAAAGTTACTAGGAATCGATTACCAATAAAAGTGGTATTCTTGCCTGAAAAAACAGTAAAAATACCGGTTTTAAGGTAAGCTTACCGGTCTGTCTTGGTAAAATTACCAATAATTGGTCAAAATAGTGAGAAGGTAAAGGTAACAACGGACCTTGGTAAAAACGCCGAGAATTTTTTTTCAGTGAATCGTGCCTCATACGCTAATGGCCAGTGCTCCCATTGCATGACCGTCAAAAGTTCCGGGATTCGGAACTTTTTTGTTCCAATTTCTCCCACACCATGACCGTCAAAAGTTCAGGGTTTTTTAAAGTAAAGATTTTTCAAATGTTCCGAGAAAGTTCTGGAAAATGCGAGAGATTCGGAACAATTCGGGAATTTCAAAAGATCCGGGAAAAATCAAGAAAAATCTCAAAAGTTCCGGAATTTGGAACTAGTTCAGGGAAATGGGAGCACTAGAATGGCTCTGAACTTAGATTATCAGGGCCTATGCCCTGCGGAACTTTTTTGTTCCAATTTCTCCTACACCATGACCGTCAAAAGTTCAGGGACTCCTTACAGATTTTTCAAATGTACCGAGAAAGTTCCGGAAAATGAGAAAGGTCCAGAACAATTCGGGAATTTCGAGAGATCCGGGAAAAATCAAGGACAATCTCAACAGTTCCGGAATTTGGAACTAGTTCGGGGAAATGGGAACACTGGAATGGCTCTAAACTTAGATTATTAGGGACAATGCCCTGCGGGCTGATTGTTGAAAGACGATCCTATTGATTGAAATTTATGGTTGTTATAGACTAAGAGGTTATATGATGAACTAACTGTAGGGTCTCTCGTGGGTTGCTGTTAGTCAGTCTATTATCTAACTCCTTCGTCCGTTGCAACCATCCGTTTCCACCATTAGGATCCCTACATACACCTTTCATCTTCTGTGTCCATAGCTTTGTCTATCCATTTCAACAATCAGCTGCTGAAGGGCGTTTTCATAGCCGTCCCTTAAACGGATCATTTCTCCTGCGGGCTGATTGTCGAAATAGATAGACAAAGCGATAGACAAATCAGACATAGTTAATATGTAGTGATCTTATTGGCTGAAATGGGTGGTCCTTGTAGACTAAGGGGGTGAATGATGGACTAAGAATATAGGGTCTCTCGTGGGTTGCCGTTAGTTAGTCTATTACCTACTCACTTGTCCATTGCAACCACCCGCTTCCACCAATAGGATCTTTTCATACTCCTTATGTCTCCTTTGTCTATCAATTTCAACGATCTGCCCGCAGGTCGAAGTAAGAAGAAGGAAATCTTCATTCCAAGTAGCACAGTGCGACGAAAATATTAAAATAATTTGCAATTTATTGAATTTCTACCATGGTTTAATACGTAATATAATCAAACTTTCACACCATTGTCCTAAGTCCACTCGATTTCGGAGGTATTAGCTCCTGTTACAAATGCACCCATCACTTAGATTATTCCGTATTTGATCGAATTTTATTCACAATACGTATCTAATGGATCGTTAATTTAAAAAAAAAAATAATAATTGTCGTTTGATGAAAATCATGTTAAATTTTTTTTTTACAATCCACTAAAATTTTTATCTAATTTTGGCCAGAGTTTCGTCAAGATTAAAATAAAATTTTGACTACGGAGTTGATCATGGTTTGAGAAAAACTTAAATTAAAAACATATTTCAACATATTGAAGAATGACTTTCATAATTTCTATTCATCTGACATTTCCGCTTTGAAAACAATTCATTATCTTGTACTAACCTCTTTTACATATGAAATCTAACTGAGAGCTCCGAAAGCGATAAAAAAAAAAAATAAGCAAATCGTTGGTTGGATGAAGGGACTAACCTTAATATTAGCATGTGATTTAGACCTTTGTTTATTACTATGTCGAAGACTTGAGAATCGAAAAGAAGATCTCCTAGGCTTATGATGTAAATGAACACTAATTGAAGGCAACGGTACAAATCCAGGTAGTGAGTCTGTAACAATCGTCACAAAATATTATTTTTATCTAATGGAGCAAAGATCATTGACCTGAGATGGAATGAAAAAGGTGTATCTTCGAGCATTCAAAAAATCAATGTAATAAGTACTCTTTCACTTGGCTACTACTCCAGAACATTAGAGAGCAATACCGTTTAAATGATCAGAATTATTACGCTCGGTAAAGGAAAAGTTTTGTTGAAATCAATGTAAACCTGCGGATGCGTAAGCTCTACATGATCATGGTAACACAAGTATGTAGGATCAGATTTAACTCCCTCACTCAAAAATTTCCAGATTTTCATCTTCAATATACTAAAAGCTTCAAGGAATTCAAGTTCCGTACTTTCAAAAATTTCAGTTTCTCAGCTGACAAGGATTCTCATGGTTTATTCAAGCTCTCTAAGAAACCTAAGCGCAAGTTGTCAGTTTCTTCATAAATGTTACAATCTCTTGATGGGCTAGCTAAGCAGGTCACACAATGGACATGTTGCATGTGTGAGGAATTTGCGATTTGACTATTGATTCTTATGTAAAAGTTTGCGAGAAACACGATGGTGCCACTGGTTTTTTTTCTGGAATCAACTCCCAAGCTCAAAAAAAATGCTCAAGTTGAAGCCAAAGTGGAGGGGATATCCCACGCTATCCTGAGAGTCCACCTTTACATCAACACAAACTCTTCACGCAAAGAGCAAATACATTGACAGGGCTGCCACTTTATTTGGGGACTCCAAAACTGAAAGCACGGCATCACTGCTAATGTATTTGCTCTCTATCTTTGCATAGAGAGTTCGTCTTGATGTAGAGGTGGACTCTCGGGACAGCGTGGGATATCCCCTCCATTTTGGCCTCGACTTAAGAACTTTTTTTGAGCTTGGAGGTTGATCTCAGGGAAAACCAGTGGCATCATCGTGTTTCTCGCGAACTTTTACATAAGAATCAACAGTCAAATCGCAAATTCCTCACACATGCAACATCTCCATTATGTTTAGAAAGATGCAGTTTCTAGATAATTGAGTAAGACATCCAAACGCCAAGGTTTCTCTCCCACTATCAAAGCAAACATCGCCCCCTGAAAATCGCATTTGATGCAGTCGTCTTCTAAAAAAGTGAAAAGAGTAGACGCTATGGTCTCGACTACCTTGCACTCATTAGCGATGCACAAATTCAACGAATGTTCCTAAAAACATCAATGTGCGTACGATAGATCGATGAAACAGAGGCGGGAGAAACCATGGCGGAGGGTGACGTCATCACCGTCACCGTCATCGGATGTTTTTTCGAGAGACGACATCGCTTTTCGTAGTGGATGAAGAAGCATGGCATTTGGATGGATCTCATTTTTAATTCACTGGAAAAAAAAGTCACTTGGATCTAGAGTCTAGACTCTTGACAACAATGACAAAAAAAAAAATACTCTTGATTCAGTCGGAGTTTTGCTTGAATCAAAAGGAAATCCGCTTAAATTAAGAGGCTTGGTTCTCGATTTAAGCGAAATTCCGATTGAATCAAGAGCACTTTATCTTGTCAATGTTTTTGAGAGTCTGGACTCTAGATCCAAGCGACTTTTTTTTCCAGTGTTGATAATTGGACTGACCTTTTTGATAAGGAACCATCGTATTTGGCTTGTTATAAGAGAAAACGCATATTCCGTTAGTTCCTCTACGCTGAAAGGAGCTTTAATTGACGAGCCACAAAAAGGGCTCCTTTTTGCAAAATAAAGTCCATTTAATATCGTCGAAAATATGATAATGTAGCCTCGGGTCCAACATATTGGACTCCATGATAATTTTTTATGTAATTGCTTGCTCATCTTGTCTGAGATCTCGGCCTGCATGCTCATCGCTGAACTTTCCACTTCTTCGCTTCAGCATGGAGTCCAATGCCAAGGAGATATCCCTCAGTTTTAATGCTTATCCATTCTTCTTCGTAGTGGAAAATCGCATATTTCTTTTTAATCTATGCTGAGTTAACCTAACCAGTGGCGTGGCGTGAATTGCGATATATCGATTGTTATGTCATTTAAACCTATGGTAAAGGATCGATTGTTAAGGTGTTCGTTGCGAACACCCTGTTTAAATCGATCCTTTTCCATAGGTTTAAATGGCATGACAATCGATATATCGCAAAGCACGCCACGCCACTTGACCTAACCAAACTTAACCAATTTTCTACAAGAACACATTGTTTCCGTCTTTACTTACTTCGCCAAATTGCTTTGAACATTTTTTGGACTCTACGCTCGTCTAATGTCAGAGAATATCTGCACATCGCGATTTCGGACGCTATGCTCACTTTAATTTTTCAAAAAAAGGTAGGTATTCCTTCTTGAAAAGAGCACGGAGCCCGAAATCTTGGACGTGATGAGCAACCAAGTATTATGAGGGTGAGCACGGAGTCCAAAACCATGAACCCAATGCTACATTACCGAAAAGATCAACGTTCAGGTTTAAAATCCATGCTTTAAACGGTTGGAAGATTCAAAAGCGGGACTAAAATAAAATTCTAAAATTACTCTAAACTAAGACAGAGGGAGAGAGCTAAGACGCAGGGTAAAGATGCGATGAAAGCCGGTCTACCATCTCCAACAACTGCTGACGAAATGTCATAGAAAAAGGACGGGCATTCAGGGGAGATACGGGGGAACAAGCGAAGAAAGTAACAACTCAGATGAGTAAATTAAGAGTTACCGTAATGATTTAAACAAATCCGAAGCAGGGAGGGTTAAGCAGGGTAAAAGTATTTGTCAAAACAGGGATGATGTTTAAACGGTAAGGTTGAGAAGCCATTCGAAGGCAAGCAGCCAAAAAGGAAAACGAATCCCTAGCGTTTTCGGTAGGTTTTTCGGGCAAAAATAACCAACATTTCTTGACTATTCTGCTCGACGATCTACTAACATGCATTAAAATAAAGAAATGCTTTTTTCTTTAATTTGAGGTAGATCTTAAAAGGGAAAGGTTATTCAAAGGTGGATCTCAATTTTGTCTCAATGGGACGATAAGCAATCCATTATATCTCATATCTTTAAAATGTTGTATGTAGAATGATTCACGCGAGAGGGAGTTGAAAATGAAGCAGCTGTATGAATGACCCAAATGAATATACTTGGAGACCCCCAAAATAATAATTTAAAGCAATGTGACCAAGTTTAGGAAAAGTCATAATCAAAGATGGACGCTATTTTTGCCCCAGTAAGGAACAAACTTGTTCAGGATATTATTTCCCAAATAGGGCCCGATGAAGATCGGAGAGCGCAATTCCCTAGGTAAGATTTGATTGGGTTTGCTAAACCAATTGCTCATTTCTCCTGTCATCGTTCATCACTGGGGGAAACTGAGCATTAACTTCCAAACTAGGGTGTCAACTAAAATTTTGTTCAGGATTTTCCTGATATTTACATGATTTTTCCTGATATTTGAAATGAAATTTCCTGATGTTTCGTGCGAACGCATTGACATTAGTTTGATTTCACTGATTTAATGAATTGGATAAAATGTTTCTTTTCAGAATTAACTAACTGTACAAGAATGAAAAATGCTTCACGCACTTGAAATTTTCAGATCCATGACCAATTTTCCTGATATTTCCTGATATTTTCCGGTTTTCCAGTTTTTTATGACGGTAGACACCTTACAAGTGTAACTCTCACACTGAAGGAGAGATAGCATGAATTGGGGTCTCAAAGATATATTCTGGCGTGGCCTTCTCCTAAACTAAGCCCCCAGCAGAGTTGCCACAGAATTTGGAAAACTAAATTGCCTACCACTTCTCTGATTTCCCTGACACATTTTGGTGAATTTCCCTTACAATTGAACTATTGTTAGGGTGATAAGAAGCCATAGTTAGAAACGGGTTTCGGGCATTTGTTGTTCGAAACGTCAAACTCACTCTAGAAAGCAAAATAAGGGCGACTCGAAGATTTTCCACTGACATTTTCATCTCTTTTCCTGACATTTTCCTCACTTTCCCAGGCACTTCCAGGTTTTCCCTGACTTTTAAAAATTCCCTGAGATTTCCCGGTATAGACCTCTAGACAAGGTACGAATTAAAGGATTCTGATACATGTTCCTTGACCAAAATTTCACGTAGAACACGATACGCACAACGAAAAGTACTGAAACTAACTCCTAACGAAGATATTAACGTTTTTATTTCACACTGGTTACGAGGGATTTGAACTGCCCGCTCACAAGAAACTCAAAGCTCTACGTGAGTCAAATCGCGCACTACAACGGTTTCAGCAATCTTCTCAATCGAGCAATGTTCATTTCCCACCATGTGTTGTTCAAACTATAAGCAATTTGTTATAGCTGAGCCAAAGCGTCAAGAATGAGGTTTCCAGATTTTTATATCGCAGAGACTGTCATGACAAACGTATAGCGTGCGACGTGAATCACGTAGAGCATCGAGTTTTCATGAGGGGGTGGTTTGATTTCACGCATCAAGAATTATTAAATATTTTCGTAAGGAGTTAATTTCGATAATTTTCGTCGTGCGCATCTTGTTTTCCGTGAAACTTTGTTTAAGATGCATGTATCAGAATGCTGACATTCGTACCTTGTCTAGTGGTCCATTGGAATCTGCAGACTGGCAGTAAAATTTTGTGCGTTAGAAGTTGGTTAGAAGGGTGGCTGCACTTTTGGGCCCTGAGCCCTCCATGAAGCTATCTGTCCATACCCTCGCTATATAGGTACTCTAACAGTTTCCTCACAATCCCTGGTATTTCCAGGTTTACCCTGACTTTTTAAAAGCCCCTGACATTTCCCGGTAATTCCTGACTGTGGCAACCTTTCTATCAATATGAAAAGGGTCTCTTGAGTTGCAGGTCAAGCGATCTGTCCATACTCTCGCTATATAGGTACTCCAACATTTTCCTCACTTTCCCTGGCATTTCCAGGTTTTTCCTGACTTTTCAAAATTTCCTGCAATTTCCCTGACTGTGGCAACCTTTCTATCAGTATGAAAAGGGTCTCTTGAGTTGCAGGTCAAGCGATCTGTCTATACTCTCGCTATATAGGTACTCTAGCATTTTCCTCACTTTCCCTGGCATTTTTAGGTTTTCCCTGACTTTTCAAAATCCCCTGGCATTTCTCGGTACTCCCTGACTGTGGCAACCTTCCTATCAGTATGAGCGGGGTCTCTTGAGTTGCAGGTCAAGCGATCTGTCCATACTCTCGCTATATAGGCACTCTAACATTTTCCTCACTTTCCCTGGCATTTCCAGTTTTTCCCTGACTTTTTAAAATCCCCCGACATTTCCCGGTATTCCCTGACTGTGGCAACCTTTCTATCAGTATGAACGGGGTCTCTAGAGTTGGAGGTCAAGCGAGGGCGGGTCGGGGCTCGCGTCCGGGGGGCGTACTTACGCTTGACCGGAGATGGTATGACCGTATCGCTGTCAACGGACAGGGATCTCTGTTTGGACCTCTGAATCGCGGCCCTCTCCTGACTGTCTTGGGCGGCGAGGGAGAGGACGTTACCGGCGGAGCTCCGCTTCCCCTCGCTGCTGTCGCTCCGGAGGGACTCCTTCGAGGCGGCCGAGTGGAGCGGCTCCAGGGCCAGGCCGCAGGCCGACGACACCGACGCCCGCTCCAGGAGAGAGTGGGCCATCGAGGGCGCCCCGCGCTTCGCCGTCCCCGGCCCGGGGGGAGGGTCCTCCGTCGAGTCCGACGTCCAGCCTCCGCAGTTCAGCGTCAGGTTCACCTGGGGAACAAAGAATACAGTCTTGAGATAGGGGAGCCGAATCTGATTGAATCATCAGCGAGCTGACTGTTTGATAGATAAAGCTGTACTGCCGTGCTAAGGAAAAACACACTGAAAAAAAATCTCGGTGTATTTACTAAGAAAAGGGTAAAATTACCAAGAGTTCAGGGTTTTATTTGATCCCAGTTTTTTCTTGGTAAAATTACCATTTATGGAATTGGTAATTTTACCGAGAAATCTCGGTACCCCGGTAAAAACGCCAATATTTTTTATCGACAGTGGTAAAATTACCGAGATAAAATGGCAAAGTTACCAGGAATTGATTACCAATAAAAGTGGTATTCTTGCCTGAAAAAAAAACAGTAAAAATATCGGTTTTTAGGTAAGCTTACCAGTCTGTCCTGGTAAAATTACCAATAATTGGTAAAAAAAGTGAGATGGTAAAGGTACCAACGGACCTTGGTAAAAACGCCGAGAATTTGTTTTCAGTGCACCGTATGAGCCTTCAAGCGTTGCCAAATTTTCATTTCTAAAACACTGATTTCCTGGTAAAGTTATAAACATTTTTCTTCCAATTTTTCATATAATGTTGATTGCGATTTCACCTTAAGTTCCTGAAAATTTCAAGGGAGAATATTCATAACTTTCCTTAAAAATAAATATTTTGTTGAAGGAAATTTAGCAACTCTCGAATGTTCATACGGCGTTCTTCCTTAGCACGGCAGTATAGACAAAGATGACAAAAGGGATTTGAAGGGATATTATCGGTAGAAGCGGGTGGTTGCAATGGATAAAGAAAGCACGTAATAGACTAACTAACAGCAACCCACGAGAGACTCTAAATTTAGTCCATTATTAACCTCCTTAGTCATTAGAACCACCCATTTCAATCAATAGGATCGCTCTACGGGGTGAGCCAGGGTTAAACGGCCGGACTGCAGTAGCGTGTTCTGTGGGCCAAAATAAGACCATTTTGTGGTAAAAAGTTTTTTCCCAAAAATGGCCCCAGTCGAAGCTACGCCCACTCCCCCAAATCAGTTTAATTTTCAAGTAAACATGCCCATGATTCTCTTAGTAAAAGCAGAATTTGCGCGGTTAAATTTTGCAGTATTGAAATGCATGTTACGTTTTTTTGTGGGGGGAACGACGCATGGTTACGCCCGTCGTCTTTAAAGCACGTGTGTGACTTAGTTTTGATTTCAATTCACTCATTTTTGCGGCAGATGGAAGAGCGCTCATTTACGAACATTTCCGGTCATCTTGGTTTGATATTGGAATCTGAAGATTAGCGGGGACATTTTTTGCGTTAAAAGGTTTGCTGCTTTTTAGGGTCCTTAGAGCTCCTTATTTTAACGTGTCCGTAGTCATACATGTGCTCTAAGCTCAAGGAGACGCACTCATCGTGCGATTTGAATCGATGAGCGAACGAAACCTCAAAGCGCCTTCAAGCCTCCACTCTAATCTTACGGGAAATGACGATACCACTATACGCACGTCGTGATGGTGTTATCGTATAACCGACCAATTGAAGGCGGACGACAACTTGCCTGTCACGCCATCCGCCGCGCCGTGTTCTGCTCTCGCTGTTTCCCTTTAAATAATGTAGGAAGCCCACTATACGCACGTCGTGATGGTGTTATCGTATAACCGACCAATTGAAAGCGGACGACAACTTGCCTGTCACGCCATCCGCCGCGCCGTGTTCTGCTCTCGCTGTTTCCCTTTAAATAATGTAGGAAGCATTACTTTAATAGAGATTACCTCGATTTGAGCAATTTCACCGCCCGCGACGCGCGACGGTGGCGACGCGCCAGTTTGCGTTAAATCGTTTCCCGGCGTTCCAAAATCCCCGCTCCCATTTTAATTTATTGAATGAGAAGGAACCGACGCTATTGCTTGAAATTTTCGGGAATACCTTCTCCACATAGGGATAAAAATTCAGTGATTTTCTCAAGTAATCACGTCCAGTATTTCTCCATTCAAACAAAGGGGTAAGATAGGACATCTGCAATACTACCGTGGCAAGGAAGAACGCCGTATGAGCCTTCATGCGTTGCCAAATGTCTTTTGGTAAATTACAAATTTTCCAGGAAACTCGCGAAAGTTTCCCGTCCACTTTCCCGGGGAATTTTCTTCGCAACTTCATCTGAAGTATCAGAAAATTTCAAGGGGAAATATTCATTATTCGTGTTAAAAATCTCGGGTGTCCATACGGCGTTTCTCCTTATCACGGCAGAATAGCTGACCTCTGGCGTGAATACTTATTTTTCTTCGTCTCACAGTGGATCGAGTCACTCAGATGGGTCAGACTCATAATTTTTGACTGAAACTGCAAATTTCGATGTTTATTTCGACGTATTGTAAATTTAAGAGGGTGTTTCTAAAATAAACCTACTATCAGAGCCTCAACATTTAGTTTAAATGGAGTTACAAACATTTAAAGTTTTCGAATTTTGTCCGACCTCTCCTATTGGCTTGATCCACTGTGCGGTTCTGTCGTGGATACTTACTTTCCTTCGTTTCCTGAGCGTGCTGGCGTCCGTGTCGGTGGAGGAGGCGCGTGAGCGGGGGCTCTTGGGGGCGTCCGAGGCGAAGGAGGAGCGGGAGGCGCAGGACTTCCAGCGGGGGAGGCACGGGAGGGTGGTGAGGACCCGGTGGAGGAAGAGCCGGAGCATGATGACCGGGTGGAGCACGCATGGGAAGAAAGCCAGCCACAGCGCCGCGAACTCCACGCTACCCGCGTCGCACGCCGACGCCCGCCGCGACGCCATCACACCTGAGGATAAAGACAAGCGGGGAAACAATCAGTGGCCGGGTCCGAGTATACTAGAATATAGAATATCTTTGTGGAAAACGTAAAGAAACCACACAGATGAAAGTACCTCGAGTGCAGGGACGGGGTGCATGGAGAGAAATTTCAACACAGAATGTTGATAAGATATTGGACTCCATGATCACCTATATAATGTTTGGTTGCTCATCACGTCCAAGATCTTGGACTCTATGCTCACTTTGATGAGTGATATTTTTTTTTAGAAAAATCGAAATGAGCCCAAAATTGTGGGATGAAGGTATTCTCTGGCAACGCACGAGCATATGGTCCAAAAATGTATTAAAACAATTTTCGTGAAATAAAGGCGAACAAATGGTTTTTCGTAAAAAAATTGTGCATTGGTTAGGTTAGGTTAGGTTAGTTCTAGATTAGATAAGAGAAGTATACGATTTTCTATCATGATGAACTTTAAAACTAAGAAAGGTCTACTCGCTTTTGGACTCCATGCTCAAGCAAAAAAGTGAGAAGTTCAGCGATGAGCATGGAGTCCAAGATATTGGACGAGATGTGCAGGCAAGTATATCGAGGGTGAGCATGGAGTCGAATACCATGGACATGATGCTACATAATCGGTTAATTCGGGAAGTAAAACACAAAATGGACTATAATTAACAGAAAGGAACCAAGCTACATCAGCCATTGCCAAATTTAACTGGGCAATCTAATTTTTTACCAGAGCACGTTTGTGCGGATTCTTTTGAAAATTGTGAGGAATTTGCTTCGTACTTTGGAGAAAATACATCGAAAGCACGAAAATCCGCACAACCGTTGTCATATAAAAAATTAAATTGCCCAATTAAATTTAGCAAAAGCTGACGTGGTTTCTTTCTGTTTAACGCGGTTCAAATAACCCTAGCCCCTGGTTGACAATTTCAAGAGAAACTGCCGACTAGTTTTCTTGAGGAAATTTAATAAAAAAACGAGCAATGAATACCAACGTCCCAATCGAGGACATCATCCCAGTCTCTCCATTGTTTTTCGCGCTAAATTCACTGCAACTATACAAAAATCGACACAAAATCTGTGTTGGTTTGTGTTTCACCTCCTATACCAATCAAAATAACACAAGAACACAAAAATATTTTTGGCAGTGTGCCAGGTATAAAATTCCTGCCCTCGAAATAAAGTCAACGCAGAAAGCCGTATTTACTTAGTTTTGAGAATAATTTCATGCATTACACTCAAAAAAAGCTTTTCAATCTGGATCTAAAACGGGGTCCCTTATTACGGACCCGAAGTGATTGAATCGAAATTAAGTTCCAAAGACTCGTAAAAAGCGACTCCGGCATGAGGGCGACTGTAATTCGACCCGCTACGTGACCTGGAGCCGGAATCAAGCCCAGAGCTCTCGTGAAAGATTGTTAAATTTTATAAAGCTTTTCAGCTTTTACGATCATTCCGGTGCAAGCAATAGCACTTAAACGCCGTAACGTTTAAAAGTTTCATACATTCGAGAAGTCCCTCGAACGGAAAGGTAGCATTGCGTAGGAATGACCACACGTAGAGGATATCATGCTTTCGAGTGAGGGTATGAATCGTATTCGATAGTATTCGATGTGTCGTTTGGTTCAAAACAATAAAACATACTTAACCTCAAACAAAAATTTTAGGTTAAAAAAGCTGAAAATGATAAACACTTTCACTTTTCTTTAAAAAAATCCATCACAAAAATCACGTTCCCTTAGATTTCTCGATTGACTTTTGAGGCTACGTTAACAGGTTGCGCACTAATCGATATCGATACGATCTCACCTGTTCGATGTATCGAATACGATCCATTCAATCACGTCCAGACCCTTCCCCCCGGGCCCGTAAAAGGATGACAAAGTATCATAAAAATGCATGCAAATCTGCTAAGAGCTTTACATCAATTTAACTTAGGTTGCAGATTTACGAGGGACGCTCCGGACATATGGTGGACTCTCGCGATGCATTTTCGTCTCGGTCTTTCCCAGTGGCGTGGCGTGCTTTGCGATATATCGATTGATCGGTCATTTAAACCTATGAAAAAGGATCGATAAGCAGGGTGTTTGCAGCGAACACCTTAAGAATCGATTATTTATCACAGCTTCAAATGGGGAAATATCGATAGATCGCAAAGCACGCCACGCCACTGCTTTCCATCTTTCCTTTCCGTTGTCGCAAATCCTCATAGCTCGACTCTCGTGCAAACCTATGCGCTTTATTGAAGTGCATGATCGGCTGAAAAGTCATTTTACTATTCTACGAGAATTTGGCCGGGGACAATATAATTTGAGATGATTCTTCGGAAATTTGGGGAAATATTAAATAGTCTCTCGATCAATGGCCCTCTAGAAAAGGTATATGAACTAAAGAACTCTGCAACATGTAATGACTTCAAAATTCTAGAGAAAAACCGAATCACACGATGGTGGGTCCGGAAATAAACTTTAAAACATGAGAAAATTATGATGAAATTCCCAAAATGATGACTGGTGAATGTCGAGGGCGACTGCTCAACTCTTTCTTCGCCAGTCGTTGGGCGAGTCTGAGCGTTGACTTCGAAAATTTTTAATGAGACGACGTCTCTGAAATTATTTTACTGTCCTCGGACTCAGTTTTTTCTGACAAAGGGGTGCCTTCAATTCTACTTCCTGGTTGGGTTACTGCGTCACGTAGTAAAATAAATAATGGCATTCTATAGCCTTTGGCTTTTAGCACGGAATACTTACTTTTATTGATATGTCGATATGAGGTACCACTGAGCATCCAACATGCCATGTAAGGTTCACTTCCGGCAATGATGCCTTTATTCTGACCTAAAATAGCCTGTAAAAAAGAATAAATTAAAATAATTCTAGTTTCTTTCTTTTACCTTTGTTGGTAAAATTTTTGAACACTAAACCATGCAATATTGCTAATATTTTCAAATAATTAATTGATTTATTGTCTGACGAGTAAAAAGAGTTTGAAATTCCATGAATTTTGTTAGGTTGACAATGTTTGTTGAGCACGATTTCATTCAAAATCCATCTTTGACGCTACGGTTCTCTGAAAAAAGCGTGTTTTTGGTTCGAGTTTTTGAAACCATAAAAAAATTAAAATGAATATTAATGCACATTTTACTATTCAAATGCGAACACGTTGCAAGTTATGGGTTAGAGTCTAAAGAGTCTTTTGGTATTGAATAGTGTCGTGCGAACACCGCTGGCGTCCATTTTTCCAGTCTTGAGTTTTTTTTATACTTGATGATACTTTTCAGGATTGGATGCAACCACGAAAGACTAATTAAAACTACTTTTAGAGTTATCTTTATCCCGAAATGAGCCCTTGCATCACTTTCATGGTTCGCTGGAAAAAAAAACACATTGGATCTAGAGTCCAGACTCTTGAAAACATTGACAAGAAAAAGGACTCTTCATTCAATCAGATTTAAGCTTAAATCAAGAAGCAAGCCTCTTAATTTGAGCGGATTTCCTTTAGATTTAAGCTTAAATCTGATTGAATCGAGAGTCCTTTTTCTTGTCAATGTTTTCAAGAGTCTGGACTCTAGATCCTATGTGTTTTTTTTTTCCAGTGTTGTGCCAACTCTTCAAAAATATTATTAAGATAAAATAATTATAAGCTGGAAGAATGGAGAAAAGCTGTATTGGCACGATAAGATTCGATTGCAGTCTGAAAAGATTGATGTTTGAAATATACGAAAAAATTTACCTCTACGGATTTTAAGGCATGTATGATCGCATTTTCGAGTGAAAGACCGAGTATAGTTTTCGTTTTGGGGTGAGAAATGACGTAGGTGGGCGCCGAGGTCAGTGTAATGTAACTGTCCTCGGCCGCTTCGGTTAACGGTGTGTGAGGTGGAGCGTCCTCTGAAAAAATAGAATAATTAATGAATCAATGAATTGGGCTGAATAAATATAAAATCAAAACATATTTGCAAGTAAACTTTATATAAAATTGGACGAGAAGAGGCGGGAACGAGACTGAAAAAACACACGATAACGATTACAAATCACGGGGTGTTTCGACCGGTCTCCAGGTCATTATCAACCGTCAAAAAGAATTAACAAATCTAAACAAATAAAAGCTAAAAACAATGTTACCCGGCGCTGGTCATGGCGGCTAGAAGACCGGTTACATTGTTTATAGCTTCTGTTTTTCTTTTTTAGATTTTCTAATTCTTTTTTGACGGTTGAAAATGGTCGAGACGTCCCGTGTTTTGTAATTATTGTGTGTATAGATTTGACCATTATCAGTCCAACCGAATTAGAGATTGACAAATTTCCTGACGTTTTATTATATTTTTATTCAGAAACATGGGAGCATCATGCGATCAATAATTGTGCCTTATGCTGAGCTAAAGTTACTATAATAACAAGTGAAGAAATCAGAGCATAAGATGAAATTTTGCTGAGCCAATTGCAAGTGGGCTGATTCCGGTTGAAGCCATGCGTTATCGATACACAGTGGCTTGGTCCAAGGTAAAACGCCTTCAAGACTCGTGAATACTTCTCCACGTACGCGCTTTGAAATCGTTTGATCACGTTGATCGCATTTAAAAAGCTATTCCGTATTTGCTTTGATGGAAGCCACCCGACGAGTTAATTACTCATGTATCTACCAAATTAATTTCTACATCGAATTTCTTTCGAGGTTCGAAACATTGTATTTAAATTAACGAGCTTATTTAGCTGATAAGGCACAATTCGTCATTGATGACTAAATGAAATAAATAAATAGTTAAAAAATAATAAAACATGAATTTCAAGGGGAAGCTGCAGAGTCACTAAAAAGATGAGATTTCAGACAAAACAGCAGTAAGTCCATAATATTTTGTGGAGTAGCTGCCTTGATTGCTGCCTTGAGTAATGATACGTATGTCCGCCAATTTCTAGCCTTAATATATTTTTATTGCACGATTGACACGTAATCATACGGCTGAAACATGCAGAAAATTCACTCGATGCTGTCCTCTGTAATATGAGATGAAACGGCCCTTTTAATGCAGTCGAATATATCGACGGTGTAAGTCGGCAATCACATAACTCGTTTGCGGTGTCTGAAAATCTCCGACTCTTTGTTATTTTTTTAAGGGAGAACAAATTGACATCATTCCTTCAAGTTTTTTTAGAATTATCTTCGCACAGAGAAGAAAAATCTTGGCAGTTTTGAAGAATCGAAGTTCGATCGTTCTTGGAAGTTTCGTTGAGTAGTTTTCCGTTTAAAAAATAAAGTATAACAGAAAGTCTGCGACGTCGCAAACCGAGTTATTTGATTGCCGACTTACACCGTCGATATACAATTTGACAGAGTTTTCAGTCTTTTGGAAGATTACTGACATTGTTACGAAGAACTGAGAGAGTTTTCAAAAAGGCTTGGTTCATTTTCTCAAAATTCAAATTCTGGTGTCATTGCTTCATTCGGTAACACGGCAGTGAAACACTGCACTCCTACTTTCGACTGGACCACATTTTGAAATAATTTTAAACTACTAATTCTGACTTATTTTAAGAACAACCCATGTATAATTAGTTTCGCTACGTCAAAAAATACGTTTTTGAATATAGCGGTTTCTCGTTGCAAGGTGTAATCCAACTTATATTCGAGGGTTGCCGGAGACCCCTGCATTTCCCGTGGAATCGCGAACTTTCGAGGCCCGAAGCGGCAACACACAACCCTGAAGTTGGATTGCAGGTTCGGATGATAATTATCTTCCCCTCGAAAGCTTCTCACCGCCTTCCACCCCTCGTGATGCCGTGCACAATTCGATTCGAAAATTAATCAAATTAGAGCGAGAATGCATCGGAGACTCGAAGAAAAGGCGCTGCCAGAGGGAGACAAAACATCCGTGGGATAAAATTGCGCAGAGAAGTGCAGCGTTACGAACACAACTAGATGTCTCCCGACACTCGAAACAGGGTTGCCAGACTTGAGATAAGATTGACGCTCACTGGTTACCATACCTTAGTGTGCGAATAAATATCCCGAGCAAAAATTGGACTACATATTTCTAAGGAGCTACTATTTCTAGATCAGCTGTAAAAGCACAGACGAGGGGCTTAAAGAAAAAAGCGCAAAAGTGCAGTTTTTGCTATTTCGAGAGATACGTCTTTGAAGTTTCGAAATTACATGGATCCTCATAGCGAAAAAAAGTTCAAACTGACTTTTTGATACATAAAAATTGGAATTTCGGAGCGAATTTTTCTCTGAGTATGCATTAAGACTAGTTTTACTTGGGAGGTTCGATTAGAGTCCCTTTATACTGAGAGAAAAGATAATGCGAATCCATTTCTGATTGGTTCCCGTATTTTAGGCGTCCACAAAGTCACAAAGGGGAATAAAGATTTCATCTCCACCAACTGCAAAGATTTTAAACTGGGATGGACCGGGGAATATGGGGTACGGCAAGGAACAAATGGAATGAGAGAGGGAACAGAAATAGGAATTCGGGAACGGGTTGATCAAAAATTACACAAAACGTCCGATTTGTGTAATCTTTAATCCCGTTTGTGACATCCATAAGCCCCGTTGTCTCAACTCTCCCTATAAGAGGACTCTAGGTTTGATTAGAGCCCCTTCATACTGAGAGTCAAGACGACACCCTCTCATGGAGTCACAAACGGGAATAAAGATTACAAAAATTGAACGTCTTTTGTAATCTTTTGATCGGCCCATTTCAAATTCCTTTCTCCGTTCCTTCTCTCATTCCGTTTGTTTCTTGCCGAACCTGTAATTCCTCGGTCCATTCCAGGTTATAATCTTTGCAATCAGTGAAAATGTAATCTTTAATCCCGTTTGTGACACCGTGGAGGCCTAAAATACGGGAACCAATCAGAAATGGATTCACATTGTCTTGACTCTCAGTATAAACGGACTCTAGGTCCGATGGGCGTTCATTTCCATTCAAATTGAACTTTCTAAGATTGGCGGCAACCCTGATAGAGCACTGGAAGGGTGAAGGGAAAAGTCGACATTGTAAGCTCAGAGCAACACTTGTCATCACAGAAGACGCGGGGGTGGGGAAACTTCCCCTGGCCGGCGGTCGGGGGAAGGGGGTGGGCTGAAGATACAAGTACCTGTATTTCGACGTGCTTTACGCTTTTGAGTCTTCTCAGCTTTTCGACAAACAATCGTGCCCCCTCCGGTCTCCCTCGCTCCCGTTTTGAGAGACAAACGGTGCCATGCGGATAAATCGGGCCATTTGTCATGTTTATAATCCCTGCAACTCCCCCAGTTGCCTCTTCCGACGGATTCCTTTGAATTAGCTGTGATGAAAGGCATGAAATCGGACTCATTAAGTGGAAAAGATAACCATCTTGATGAAGCTACAAGAAAACGCGTTTATGATATTAAGGAAATACGGGTTGGAAATGCTGTTGCTTTTCATTTCCGTCGTTTTAGATAAATTCCTTCTGGTTGACGAAATTGACCCCTCTCGGAAAATTCTTTTCCCGCATCAGGCTCTTTTTGCGAAATGTTTCCCGACTCCGTCGTGCCGGATTTCTCTCGAAAAAACATTTATTTTTAAGATTTTCAGATACTTCAGATCAAATTGTGGATAAAATTTATCGTTACGGTTGGGAGAAAAATATTCATAAACATTCCTGAAAATTCGTTTTTTTACTGTGGGAGATTTTGTAATGTCTAAAGGTTATAATGCGGCTTTTGAGCAGGGCAGAATGAGTCTCTCAAGGCTTATAAGATATCGGTATTCTTTGGACAAGGCGTCCGCAAAGACTTTCCAAACATCGAGGATGCTATTAGGCCGAATCTACGATTTGAAGGAGAACTGGCATGGTTTTAAGGACTGAGGAAATCTGCTTCCTGAATGGAGAGACGGAAACTCGGTGGCGTAGTGTGCTTTGAGATTCATAGATTGATCAGCCATTTAAACCTATGTAAAAGGGTCAATACACAGGGCGTTCGCAACGAACACCTGATGATCGATTCTTTACCATATCCTCAAGTGGGGAATTATAGATTATCACGCTCCGCCACTGCAAAAAACGTACACTGAGGGAACGATTTTCACAAGAGTCATCTTTGGGCTTGCAGAATGTCCTGTAAAGTTGGCGAACCAAACTTGACGATTTAACGATCGCTAATTCTTGCCGTATACACTGCACGATAAATTTGTCTGCTTCGTCGACAAACGTTTTCTCAGAGTACGAATGAGTTTAAACTACGTGACAGTCTTCAGGAAAACAGACTCTCAATAGCTGAAAGACTATATACTATAAGATATTGATATACATCTTAGGAAAACAATCCAGAAATATACCTACTCGTGCGGGTAAACGCCCAAAGAAATCAAATAAAACTTGATTGACAACTGCCTCATGTTCGCAACTGACAAGAACATAGTTTTGATAAAAAAGAAAATAAATAAATAAAAAAAAATCAAGTTTAATGTGTCATGTTTTAGCGCTATACTAATCGAAACGAAGTCCAAAGATAAGACCTCCTGATGGATCGTATTCGATAGTGGTTCGATTTATCGTTTGGTCAAAACAATAGAGCATAACTCCAAAGAAAAGCTGTGGGATTTAAGTTGGAAAAGCTAAAAATGGGAATATTCCAAACAATTTCACTTTTCATTGCCGTTTGGTACTCACGAGAATAAAAAATCTATAAAAAAACCCCGTTCCCTCAGATTTCTTAAGTGACTTTGGAGGCTATGTTTACATGTTGAACCAGTCGATATCGATACAATCTCATCTGTTTGACGTATCGAATACGATCCATATTAAAAACGATTATCGGTCACGTACAATTTGACAACTATGTCCCTGCCGAGGGATTCCGACGAGATGAGTTGGACTCGCGAACAATTTTCTCTCGCGGGAATTCTTGTTTTTTCCTCTTTTCT